GTCACTGCCAGTGGCTTTTTTCCCTCCCACTCTGTGTACAGTGTATAAAAAAATCCAAACACAGTAGTCGTGAACCCGCGTGTGTGTGACATCACTGCGACGTGACTGGCCGTTGCTCTATGTCACTGTTACTCTGTGTGAGTAGTGATTAAGTGACTGGCAAAGCAAGCAAAGGCTGGCCTATCTAGCCTGAGTCATTCCTACACTGACGTTGCACACACGTTAACGGACAGACACACACATATACACACTTTGTGCTTTACTGACACACACCTTCCATACATACTGCAGTATTCTTTAAAGCCCATCTTTCCCTACTTTTATCCTGTTTACATTCATATCTAGAGCGATAGTAGCAGCGCGCCCCCCTCCACCATGCTGATAACCCCGTGCATTATGGGTGATGTAGTAGGTAGTAACCGAATTAAAGAGAAACCCCCAATTCTGTAGTCGACCACCCTGAACTCCCGTACGCTGTTGCACCACCCGATCCTGTACAGCATTTTAATACTGTCTTATTAATCGATGACCACTTCTCGTATTAGCGAGACAATCTTACATGTGTGATTTTACTAGGAAGGAAACGTCCATGTTATGGTAACAATGCTACCTATGGTCTAGTACTTTTACAATGTTTTATTGCACCATGGATGCAAACAGTGTTAAGATCTGTGGGACTAGTCACTGATTAATGGCCTTTCATAATGTTTTTAAACTCTTACAGCACTCTTCATATCACATGTCTTCTTCTTCTTTTTTCTTTTTTTAAGTGTTTCGCTGTCTTGTAAAAATCAGACTTTAAAGATAAAATAATAGCTAGCTGTTTTGTAGGAGAATAAAGGCAAGAGCAGCGTTTTTCCTCTCTTATTAATGGTGAATGACTCTCTGTCTTGCAACTGTTTTAATAAGACTATTACAGTGTCGTCCGCGCACCTGATGCAGTGCTGCGTTTGAAGTTCTGTGCCAGTGCTGTCTGTGATTTGACTGCTCTGGTACAGTATGTCGTGACGGGTGGGAAGAGCCCAGTAAGAGTCAGTAACGAGTGGGCGCTTCTCCGTGTGGTAATTACAGGACTTCAAATGCACGACTGTTCAGATGTGACAGACAAACAATGTTTTCTATGGCTGTTTTTATTTTCTGATGGTTTAACTAAGATATTAATGATATACATGTCAAAACTGTGGTAATGATATCATTCAGCCTGGAATAAATGTTTTAAAAAAAGAAATTAAAGCAACTTTAACGTACTGATGAAGACCGTTGCGTCTGTTTTTTTTTCTCATCACCCTGTTCCCTGAAGGTTTTACCGGGTTTAACACAGATTTAACAAGGTGCTGCAAACATTGACATGACAACATTACACAGTTGCTGCAAATTTCTCTGCTGCACATCCAGGATGGAAATCTCCTGTTCCACCACATCGTAAGCTGCTCTACTGGACTGAGACTGCTGACTGCAGAGGCCATTTGAGTGCAGTGAACTTGTCGTTATGTGCGAGAAAACATTTTGAGACATGTGAGCTTTGTGACATGGGTTGTTTTCATGTTTTTTTCACACTAAATGTCTCAACTTCCTGTTCTTATCTGACAGGAGTGGTGTGGTCTTCTGCCGATGCAGAGATGCTCTTCTGCATACCTGGTTATTTGCGTTACTGTTGCTATTATCAGCTCAAAGCTTTAGCCATTCTCCTCTGGCCTCTGGCATTAACAAGGCGTTTCCACCCAGAGAAATGCCACTCACTGAATATTTTCTCTCTTTAGGACCATTCTTAATAAACCCTACAGATGGTTGTTTGGGAAAATTCAAGTCGATCATCAGTTTCTGAAATACTCAAAGCAGTCCATCTGCTACATTCAAAGTCATTTAAATCACCTTTCTTCCCCATCCCAAGTTTGAACAATCTTAGTGCCTTAATGGACTGATTTGCTGTCATTTCCTTGACTGATTAGACGTTCCCACTGACGACCAGCTGAACAAGTTTATCTAATAAAGTGGCAGATGAGCGTCTTTACTGTAAGGTGATATTGCAAATGTTTTAAAAGTGCTGGAAACTCTTCAGTGACACTGAAATATTGGTTTTACAGCCATTTAATTTTGCAGACTCCATCATTTCATTATTGATGTGATGTTATTTACCAGCATCTTCTCCTGCATCATCAAAATGAATACCAGTACAAATCACATCAAGAGGAAAATAAAAGCGACTGGACCGATGTCAATGAACAGAGAGAGCTACTTCCATTAATCTTGACAGTGTAGATATTACAATAATGAGTACAGCTGATGCGAAGCTTTAATCTCTATAGAGCTACATTTGCATGGGGAATGATTTGTTTTGTCGCTCTATGACCTCTAGATTCTTACAGATTAAGAGCAGCAGTTTTTACTGATGATTAATGAAACCTAGGAGAATAGTATAAGATACATTTAGCCTCCTATATTAATAAACAGCAAGTTTACACCTCAATAAGAGGACTGTCATGGCCACTCTATGAGAAAGTCTCCACCTAGTGGTTGATAGAGCGTTTTCAGACTTAGCAGAAGTAGCAGCAAGCACGATTCATGCATTCATGAGACTCCAGACGATGCAGATTACTTTGAGCAAGAAGCAGAGAATCTAACAATATCATTGCTACATTTACAAGTTCAGTGTTTTGAGAGAAGTGGCACTGAGAATCTACCATCCATAATAAAATATGCCATGTACAGTTTAGACTTACATACCAAACACGCCGCACGTTTAATGCTTAGACAAAATTCATGGGAGGACAAAACTTTCGGCTTACTTTTTATTTTGCAATAATGTCTGGATTCTGGATTAAATAAGGGGAATGATTACTTAATAAGCAGCGCAATTTAATCTGTAATTGCGTTGTTTAAAATTTAATCTTGAGAAAGACAAATGATTTTGGATCTCACAGGCTTGATGGTGGAGCTAAAACCTACAGTGTTAGGCGGATAAAAAGGCGTCCGACCTTGAAAAGCAGCGCAGTTACACATACAGCCAGCAGGTGTCGCTGTCCACTCAGATGAGTGTGAAAGCCCAAAGTGATTTTTATTCACTGGCTAAGTTTTCGTCACGGTCAACACAGCCTGACACCGGTGGGTTCACAGCGGGAGAGGTCACACACACACACACACGGCCTGCTAATCTTTGGGTTCTGCCTTTATCTCTTGCAGGCCCTTCTGCATGGCTTGATCAGATAAGAGGACTGTTAGTGTGAATGTGTGAAGGAAATGTCAGAGGGTTATCAGTGCGGAGGAGAGGTCCGCCAGACAGAAACCCATAGATTCATGAACAAGTAAAAAGGTCAAAGGTCAAAGTGCATTTTTCTTCATAGCTCACAGACTTCTTCAAACAAACGGCAGATATCTTTTCATGTAAGAAGCGTGAGTGTATTTGCATGTGCAATTTTTATCACTCCAACTTGTTTGTGATCGGAGAATTCGACAATAAGCAATTGAGTAAAGAGAACAAACAGCTGATTGATAAAACACTTTTATTATAACCATACAGTCCAGATACTGGAGAGAGCCTTTCTGCTTCAGGAGCAACAGTTATCATATATACATTCACGTGGGGAGGCGCGGGGGTGGACTTTTATTAATTGCACAAACTTCCTTCAACACACAGAAAGACATCAAGACGACTCAACATGAGTCAATGCTCAAAAACAAAAACATTTTAGAAGCAGTGCAGTCATGGTCCTTCCATTTGCATCAATAACAACCTTTACAAAGAAGTTTTTGTAAAGGACAGTTTGACATTTTGGGGAATCTGATTGTTTTCTTGGAGAATTAAATGAGACTGACATTACATCATACGACAGAGTAGCCAGGCACAAACATTAGAAGAAAGTCATTTCCCCAAAATGTCAGACTGTTCCTTTTAGTCTTTTAATCAAATGACAAATCGCAAACAGCAAAAATAAGAGAAAAACGTGAAGTTCTAAAATACATACACCCAAGAATGGGGTTTATATTGAACACTGATGGAAAACAAACAAACAAACAAACAAACAAACAAACAAACAAACAAACAAACAAACAAAAAAAACCCCACATTGTTTTAACACTATGGACATGTTTTTTTTCCTTCATGATGGGGAAATACAGTCATATACATTCAAGAGATTTTTTACAGCAGAGAAAGAAGAGAGAGGATGCTCAAAGGAAAGCAGGACAGGCTGCACTATGCAGCAGTTTAGATCCAAGTGGGGCCAATTCTATAAAAGTTCTAATGGAGCGGCGCTACTGGTACTGAGCATCTCTCTACATTCAGACTGTGTCATATCTTGCACACAAACTCCAGATAACACTGGTGAAATCAGATCGACACATTGTCCAAATGTGCCCTTTCTCGTGTAGCACGCAGCAGGAGAAAATCCGCCTCAGAGCGTGCAGAAGGCAGCACACATGACTCATCGTGACTACAATAGACTAATACCTGCTCGGCATTCTTCCACAGGCGCAATCACACATCACGCAGACTCTCGTGTTCGTGAACCGGCATGCTAAGGATCAGCCGATCTGACTGCAGCTTCCCTGGGTTATGTCGGCAAAAGTTCAGGCCTTGAGGTGCGTGCCTGAATCATCGCTCCAGGCCTGATAAACTTGAAACTAAAATATCTGAGAGTTTGCTATGAGTAAGCTGGCGTTGGCATTCCCTGTTCTCAGAGGATGAATGCGGTGTTATGATCATAAAATGTGTTATAAATCCATGTAGTCACACCAACATACAGACTTTAAACAGCCCTGCTTGCAGGAGAAAAGCATCTTTGACTTTGACATTTTGAAGGCCTTTTGCATTATTGCAGAGTCAGATAAATAAAATTCATACTGTCGGGGTCAGCAGTGCGAGTATGAAGGCACAATAAGCCGTCAGTTAGCACAGCTCAGCAAAAAAAAAGTAAAAAAGAT